CTTTTCCTATGTGATGACTCATTGGAAACAACAAGTTACTAGACCAAGTTAATATAGCTTGAGGTGCCCAATTTGACCTTGACCCGTTGTCAAACCCTATGACAATCGAGTTCTCTCTTTAAAAGTCGTGCACGTGAACGAAGTTACAGCGAGCATCACATGTTGGGTCGAGCCGGGTTTCGAACCGATGGGCCGACTCATTAAACCCATATTAAGCCCGCATACGAGCCGAATAAAACCCAGCCTGATGCGTTTTATTTTTACCATTGCTCTTGGAAAGCCCTACTCGATTTCGGTCCTCCACTCGAAGCAGAGCGGAGGAGGTGAAGGAGGAGGAAGCGGGAGAGGGTGAGGAGGGGGATGGATCCGAAGGCCTCGGCGAAGTCGAAGAGAGCCCACACGCAGCACGGCCGGGCGAACCACCCTTCGCCGTCCGCAATCGCCCAGCGGAAGAAGCACGGGAACAGCAAGGACAAGAATCCGACGCAGGGCGGAGGAGGAGACGGGGAGCCAAAGCGGTCACGCGTCCCCGCCCTCCCATCCAATTTGGATCGTTACGGCGAGGAGGAGGAAGAGGAGTTGAATGGCGCCGGGAACCCCGCGGCCACCGAGGTCGCGCCCAAAAGCAAGGGGGCGGACTTCGGCTATTTGCTCGAGCAGGCTCGGACGCAGCAGCAGGAGCGTCGTAATCTTGCTGCTCGCGGCCTCTCCGCGTCCTCTTCATCGGAAGAGTTTCCCTTTGGTAATGACCTCGCAATCTCTCTCTTCTAATTTGGACTAAGAGGAAACCGTGCTTTGGAGGATGGTAATTGTTCATGGATCTGGTTTTGTAATAAAAGCTGGAACCTAAGTCGACATTTTTGTCATCCATCATCCAAGCGTACCATGATCTTAATTGTAGAATCAGCTATGAATGCTAAAGGAAAGAGATCCTGTTCTTATGTTCCCTGGAAGTAGCTTATTTGTCTTGGCAGCATTGGATGATGTCCTTTGTCTGCATATTTGAACTAGAAGGACAAGAAGAAACATTTAGTTCTATATCCTCTTTTTATGTCAATTTTGTTCGGTTGTAATGTGTGTATACCAAGTTGAGAGTAGTACTTCTGCAGTGGCAATGATTGTTCCATATTATCTTTAGCTTCATGGTTTCCGACTGTGTCAGTTGATGGTTGAGGCTTTGGTATTTCCTGAAGATTTTATGCTATAAGCCATAGACATAAGCCATGATGAAGAACATTGTTTATTTGTATGCTTCATAACAGTTAAATTGTGATAGCATAAAAAATGATCGAACAAGAAGAGGGAATTATTTTCTTACCTATAAACAATCTGAGAAATTAATTGTAATGTTAGTCACATGGGTTACTGAGATCTGAATTAGTTGTCAAGGATAAGTGATTAGATGACATCTGCCAAAGTTTGTTTAGCTACTTCTTTATTGAGCAAGATAAAAAAACACCGAAAGCCACCTACCTCCTTATGGCAGGGCAAAGCGTACAATTTGAAGCCTTTCTCTAATGCTGTTATGTTTGGTCATTATGAGAATGAAATATGATTTTTTTTTGTCCATTCTATTTTTCACTGTAGACTCTGTAATTGTAGTGGATTCTCACTTTTATCTCTCCAGGTTTAATGCAGGGACTGAGCTCTATGCTATCTGTTAGAGGAAAAGCTCTACTATCATTGTGTGAAGATGATAATTTTATCATTGATGACGATGATGATACCTCATCAAGTTATGAGGTATTAATTGCTATTTCATCTTTTATAAGCAACTTCTGTAAGATTTTGCCTCAACCATTTATCAACTCTCAAGCTTCTTGAGAACTAACAGTTCTAGTTAGTTTTTTCTTTTAAGATTTTAGATATCATGTTTTATACTATGCTTCATATTTAGTTCAATAAAAGTATAAAACACAACTTGCTGTAGCTTTTTCTTTCACATATAAACCTATAAAATCTCAATTTTTATTATTTTCTGGGGTTCCCCTCTTTTCTGAATAACCACATTTCATGGTGTCCTATGGTCATATTATACGTAAGGATGCAAATTGATCCTTTTCCTTAATTTGGAAGTATGATGTCTCTCGTGGCCAGACTACAATTGGCAAATTAGATCAAAGATTTTAAGTCATCATGACTTTCCCATCTGATGCAAGTAGGTTTCTAAATTATTATTCTATTAAATACTCCTTGATGTTATAGTAATAAGAACATGTTGCGTATCAGGTCCCTTTCCTCTCCATCGATTTGCATGCAATTGATGCACAATTATCAAAACTGAAGCTCTCAGAGAGGCTCTTCATTGAATCAGATTTATTTCCTGAAGAGCAGGTAAGCTTATTTGTCATTGATTTGTTATGGACTATCCCAATCTTGCCTGTGTGTAGTCTGCTTAATGCACATTTTTCTTTCTTCTTGGGGAAGATTCAGTAAACTTTTCTTTTTCTGGGTTGAGGTAGAATGCAAAATGGTTTCGAGTTATCTTTGAGGAAATCCAGTACATGAATATATCAAATGTCTTTAAGGGACATATTATGTTTGTCGACTCATAGACGTCAAGATATCCAGCTTAGAAACCTTTTGTTTTTTAATAAATAGAGAGCTATGAATAATCCTAAAGATTTGGTTTTGTTGGTTTGTTATCAAGTTTATATTATCATTGTTTGTAAATCAAAACTAGCAACTTATAGCTAATTCGTAGATAAGAATATCTATGAAATTTGTTGCAGCTAAGCTGATAAAATTATAAATTAACTCTTTGAACTTATGCTATATGGAAGAGTCCAGAGGAAAGGCAAATGATAAGTCTTGTTATGGGCGTTACTATCATCCCATTGGAATAGATTGATGTGCCAATTGACCAGACACCATAAATATCTAGAAATATGCACAATACCTGCACTTAGTATCTTCATTTTGAAGACATTCAGAAAGAAAGCTAGCTTTCTGTGTGTGTTTTTGTAGAGTATCAGTGCAGTTGCATGTGTCTCTTTAACTATTTATACATGTAGAGAGATGGAGATGGACAATTTGCATATTACTTTTTTGATTGTGGATTAAGTTTGATATGGATTCTGCTTTAAGGGGAATCAAGCAGCTAGCTGATTTTAAGGTGAAGTTCCAATGTGAAGAAAAAATAATTGTACCTGTAATCAACTGAGATTGATCATTTAATGCGTGGAAGTGTCAAACACAGATGAACTAACATCCTATTGGCACAAGAAAGATGATTTGGCACCTAGGGCAAGTTGTACAACATCTAATTTGCCTACTTTTTCATTAAATGATCAAGAAATTGAGAGTTGTTATTGTTTAGAGAAAGTCCTTCCCTGTACGGTTTGTTGGCATCTGAAATCTTTGATTTGATTTGCGATTATATATGATAAATGGCTCAGTTTTTCTGTACCTTCTTGCTGCCTTTCTTAGTCAACTGCCAAAATATCATGTTTACTGTTTTGGTGGATATTTTTTGTAGTGTGTTGACGAGTCAAATGAGAAGCAGATATCTGAGCAACCAGAAGATTCAGTAGCAAGTGATATAAAACATGATTATGTTCCATCAACTTCTATGAATGTGGATGGCCAAAATAACCCTAGTAACCATTACAGAGGTAGTGAAATTGATGAAGGTGCATTGTTGAAGAAGCATCATTCACAATTGTTATCGGAAAATATTACCAAGCTTCATCCAACTAAAGAATTGAGGTCACAAGAGTTTTCCCCAAGCAGAATAACTCAAGGTTCCAACTCCAATCTTAGCATATATGCTGTTTCAAACCCAATGGAGAACACTACCTCTAAGTTTGAGATGGCAGCAGCAGAAGCAGAGCTTGATATGCTTCTTGACTCACTAAGTGGAACCAGTTTTTCTGGTGCTGCTTCAGATGATCTGATCAATGATGTTTCAGGTCCCAGTAATGCAACTTCTTATTCTTCAGCCAATACATTACCGTTATCCGCCAGGAAGGGTTCTGATTCCTCAATAAATGTACCAACAAGCTCAATTGATGATGCCATTGACGATTTGCTTGCTGTGACATCATTAAGTCTTACGGACAAGAACTACAATGGAAGCGCAACAGAGGAGGGAGCATTACATTCTAAGGTTCACGCTCCTCCAGCTTTTGGTTCAAAATCAGCTGATCAGTCTAGCTCCTTGAGAACAGAAGCTAGAACTGCTCTTGATGATGCCATTGATGATTTGTTTGGTGAGAAATCTGTTTTTTCCGAGGATCAAAAGCAGGAACCATCAGCAATCACCCTTCCTTTGCGACCTCCTTTTGGTTCAAAACCCATGGATGACTTTGATTCTTGGCTTGATACCTTGTGAAGCAGGAATCTGAAGAAAGGGACACAATCAAACCACTCAACATGTCAACTTGGGTGTTCATATCTGCTTTAGCTCAGTTTTGGCAAAATTCCATTTGTTTTATATGGAACACAACTCGACAACTGTTCATCCTTCCAGCACAAATTGGCCAAAGTAATATGCATTGCACATGGATACTATGAATACGTTGCTCATCTCCTTCTGGCCACATGTTCAAAGTCAGTGATTGAAATGCCTTCTTGATGGGTGTTTCAAGTCGTTGGATCTGCCAGTTGAAGAGCGCATTACAGATTTAGCTCATCTTATTTAGCAGAAGAACTTGGCGTTACCTGAATTTTGAACTCGGCAACCTATTCCCAAGATGATATGTTTATTATATGCTTTTCACGTAAAGTGATATGGTGGAAGCATAGCAGAGGGTAATGGTTTGTGTTGTTTTACCATCTCACGCAAACATTCCTGATGATGGTCCATTGTACCCCAAAAAGCCTCGATGTTTGTCCTGGTTACTTTGCTGGCAGTGCTGGAAGGTAAACTTTCATGTTGCTGGTACCTGTTTCAAGTATTGATGCTGAAATTGGAAGCTTGGTAAAGAACACATCTCTGTTTCAACTCTTAGTATAACCCTATTCCGAAAAGCTTTCCCTGAGGTGGTCTTCTTTGCAAGCTCTTTTGGTTAATGCAGATGCTTGTGCCACCTTTCAAGGTTTGCTGCCCAGGTAACCTCCTTGTTTGATATACTGTAAGTACATTCAACTTAGTTGTCTCTGTTCCAACTGTTATTGCTATAATTCGGAATCTATAGTTGTTGAATTGCCTGTCACCGTCGTCGTAGATCGCTGCTTTCTCGATGATGCGTTAGGAGCATCGTTAGGTGACTTAGTGGCATTGGACTTTTAATGTCTCTCACAGACGGTTTTGACCAGGAAGTGGTGGGGAATGCTACTGCAGGCGAGGTCAGGTGGCCGGGCTTTTTCTCATTCATTATGCCCTCCTCTGCACTTGTCCCTGTGCGTTTATACCAACTCCGCCTCAGCCGGGTTGACCCCGGTTGTCGTCGCTTGGCCAATTGGCGAGCGCAGGAGTCAACTGACGTCGATGTCAAATCCACTCACAACAGTGGCGCGAGTGACCATGTGTCTTGCATTTGACATCACGCTGCTGCTTTTTCTCCGGGCCAAAAGAAGGGGCATTGTGTCGAACGCCTGTGCTGCGCATCGATGCGTATGCACTGACGTTTCTCCCACATAGAACCTGCGTGGCGCGCGGGGGGTATTTGAAAACAGGCACCCGGAATTCACCATTTAATCTGCAGGGATGGCGTATGCCGTCGGTGGCAATTGGGCGGTGACCGAGGCACGCGGACGACACAAACCACGACGCGTGTTCCTGGAAGCGTCGGTCGACAATTGGACTCTAAATGGGTTAGTAGAGATAAAATTAAATGAAATATGAAACATGGAGGGTGATCGTAACACAGCTTTCTTTTAAAAAGTGGTCACCCTAAAAAATCAGATTAACCTTTACGAAGATTGTATCCTCGATGATAAAAGGATCCTCTCTGTCTGGTACTCTGACCTCTGGTCCATCGTGTGGCTTACCTCGGTTGCTTGGACCTCTGTTCCCATACTCCCTAATTGCCCTATGCGGCATTATTTACAAGCTCCTCTCCAAGGTGTTAGCCAACAGGATCAGATCCCACCTTGGTAGTCTCATCCAACAGGAACAGTTTTCTTTTGTTTCCCACTGTTCTATACCTAACAATATCCTTGTTGCTAATAAGCTAATCCATTCTAGCTTATTCCAAAAGCCTTTCTCCGTTGTTGATAAAAGAGTCTAGTGTCAACTATAGTTGCCACGTGAGATCACCAATATGCTTACGTTGATAAATATAAGTTTCTTTCTTATCCATTATGACAAGAAAGATAATCACAAGCTTCCTTCCTTCAATCTTTATTACAAGGAAAGCAATAAGAAGCTTTTTTCTCATTCATTATAACGAGAAAGGTAATCACATATGTCACGCACTTAGTTAAGTCGTGCAACACTCTTGCGTGTTTATTTACAAACGTTAGCCTTTCCGAAATCTCCTATGGTCCCTTAGGAGGTTTCGGGGAGGCTGACCTTTGCGTACGGACATGCAAGAGTATCACACGACTTACGTAAAACCAACTAAATGCTTCCTTCTCATTCTCTAAGATATAAAAAGACATCTTAAACTCAATGCAAGAGACTCCTTTTGAACTACTCAAACTCACATTTGGAGACCTCATATTACTAACTATAGCGTTAGAGGGATCGGACCGAGAAATCTCTCCCGACCTTAATCTTCATACAGGTGGCATCTCGAGAGTATGACATTTCACCTTGGAGACATTTCGGATCATCCTACATATATAGGTTCGGGATCACATCGGGTTAACCAAAATGTTAACGATATTTTTTTCCTAATATTTTGATGCTAGAAGGAGGGACTAATGTCATATGAATATTCACTCGTCAATCCCCCCAACGAACTCTCTAGCGATGAGGCTCTACTTCCAACCCACAACACTTTTACTCTACTCATGGGGGGCACCTTCCGTCCTTCCCTCATATGGACGTATCGACTTCGATGCAAACAGGTATTTCTCTCTCGGGGATGACCTCAAGCCACCTATTTATCCTCGCTAAGGTATTTCTTAACCTCACCCATCAAGTGGAAACGCTAATTGACATGATCTAGGCTATCGCCCTTCTCCTACCTTCGTTAGCCCAATAAACAATGCCACCATCTCAGTCGTGATCAGTATCTCAATCGCCACTAGCTCTGGTGCCCGTTAGAATTCCTAGCCCAATGTAGTGTCAACGTCTTAAGATCACCCAAGGCCTAAAGAACCATTGGTCGAGGAAGCACCTTGCTCCCCAATCGTGAAATTCAACACACCGCTACACCATTGCTTCGCTCCATCCGAATATAAGGCCTAGTCAGCGGATCTAATAGATGACTCCTTGAGGATCTAACTACGATAAATGAACTATCATCTAGAAGAGATATGACAAGAGTTCTAGCAATCTCGGAGAGAAAGGTTGGATTGCCTCACCTCAAGTCGATCCTCATTCACTCAGAACAGACTGGAGGAGTTAATCCCAATGAACTTTTACCTCCTGTTATAAGAGCCATTTGACGGTAATATTGGCTCGATAGAGTACATTATCGCCTTCCACACCTAGATGTCGCTGTATGACACCTCGAACGCCCTAAGTGTCATGCCTTCATGATAATGTTAAGAAGTAGGGCACGAGAATGGTAAACTCGCTTGAAGCTCCTCTTAGTTAGCTCATTCGCTCAGCTCATAAAGAAATTCAATCTATACTTGGGGGTTGACGGAGAGGTAGATTAACGTTATCATCGATGGACTTGCCTCGGGAGGAGATAGCTCTTCGAGTAGCAAAACTTTCTCTTAGTCTACCATCGAAGAGCATTCGAAGTCCGATGATGACTTGAAATAACCTTCAAGGAAGAAGAGACAAAGTGCCTCAACCCAAACGACAATGGTTCCTTGGTGGTTTGAGTGGGGATGATTAACACCTGAGTGAAGAGGGTCACACTCAAGTGAAGGGTCATGATTGATACAGCATGCATGTCACATTTGGGGATAAACCTTGCTCCAAAATAGTGATGACTAAATTCATGATGATAATTTTCAACGAAAACCAACGTTGGAAAGCTAAGAAGTAACTCGAGAGAGTCACGCTAGTGCTTTCTAATAACAATCTCCCTACCAAAGAAGGCATAGCCCGAGATGCCACTGTTCGATTATCGAAATTTCATTGAGTCCCTCCCACAACTCGAGTCATTTGAGTTGCTAATAGAGGCACTCTTGGACAAAAGCTCACTATGGTGAAAAGAGGATATGAAGTCCACCACTACGGAAGGACTTGAAATATGTCATGACAAAACAAACAAATGTTATGCATATAAATTGAGGTTAACTTGCCATAATGGGAGGACCTAAAGTCCGCCATGGTGGAGGGGGGGACTTGAAGCTCGCCATGGTGGGAGGACCCAAAATTTGCCACGATTGAGAGAGGACCTAAAATCCACCATGGCATAGGGAGGGCTCGAAGCTTACTACGTTGGAAGGAGGACTCAAGATCCACCATACAAAAGAAGACTTCAAACTCGCCACGACGGATGAAGGACATAAAGCTCGCCATGATGGGAGGACTCGAAATCTTCCACGATAGAGAGAGGACCCAATATCTACCATGACGGATGAAGGATTTGAAGTCCGCCATGATGGGAGGATCCAAAATCCATCATGGTGAAGGGAGGACTTGAAGCCTGCCACGGCATGAGGATCCAAAATCCGCCACACCAGAAGGAGAACTTGATGGAGGCATAAGATAGATCCATAGTGAGAAAAAGATAGATCCATCATGATGGAGGCACAAGCCTAATGTGTCCGAGACACATGAGTCAGGAAAACCCAACTCGCATGAAAAATCTACCACTATAGAGGCACAAGACCAACGTGCCCAAGATGTATAAGTTAGGAAAATATGACACACGTAAAAAGACCATGAGTCATAAGGCCCTATACCCGAGATGCATGAGCCGAAAATACCCGACTCATGTGAAGAAATTCACTATGCCTAATCGAGGCCAGCACAAATCCACTATAGCAAAAGCATAGGGCGAAACGTGCCCAAAACACATGAGTTAGGAAAACCTAACCCACGTAAAAAGAAATCCATCATAGTGGAGGCATAAGGCCAATGAGCCCGAGATGTATTGCTAGTTGCAGGTGTCCTACAAATCAATCATAAGTGATGACACATGTGATACGCTGCATAATCTCTTTTGGTTAATATTAATAATATTATTTTCTCACTTTATATTATATGATGACTATATATTGTGATGTCCTTGAATTTATGGAATGAGAATTGAATCATGATGAGATCATTATAATGAGACGAATTCGCTTTTAAACACATATCCTAAATATTCTTGGTCGTAGGTTTCTCGAGAAGGACATCGAGATAACCAAATAGATCAGTGTGCTATATACTTGTCCATCTGATGGAGGCAGCTGGTCTCATATTGCTTATATGGGGATACTAAAGATATAAAGTAAGTGCTCACTAGATAATAAGTTCTGATTAATGATACCTTATTGTCAAACAATGATTCAATAATCATAGTTGTGTATCTGGATCTTAGATCTGAGACACTAAGGATGTCTTATTTGAGTATATCATTCTTTGATGCCGGACTTATAGGTTTGAAAGTTTCAGATCTAGTACAGATAGTCATTGGGAATGACATCCAACCTTACAAAGGCAATTGGTGTCAATAGAAGATCATCCACTCTCGATATCATGAGAGGAATATTTTGTTTATTCTCACTCAAGCAAATCCTTGGCTAGGGTCAATTGGATCATGATGAATCCGATTAAAGCGAGACTCGAATGGATTCCGTATGGGTTTGATAGCACTATAACCGATATACAGTTTCTGAAATATTAGATAGATGAGAGACTATAGATACACACAGTAACTGAGGGTAGACATGTCCAATGGATTAGATCCTCATGTATTATTTGAGAACTATAGTGTAGTGGCCTAGTACATCCAT